CGCCCCCGCAAGACGCAAGAAGAGTGGTAAAGAGACGTCAGCAGGCCTGTGACTTGAAGATGGGGAAGCCTTGATATGTCAGCAATCCCTTCTTGCTGACGGCACGGCACTTTCAGATATCACTTCCCTTTTACCACACCTCTTTACTACCCGCCCCCCTCTATTTTACCCTCCGCCTCCATCTGAGCGACAAGATCAGCATGCAAGACTGCTTCCTCCACCATCAGACTCCCCCAGCCATCGACCCGGCAGCACACGACGAGTCGGTGGACGAGGCTGTCGCGCGCCTGGCGGCCAGCCAGCCAGCCTTCGCCGACCCCTTCCTCCAAGACAGCCAGGCCCTACACGCCCATCCCCTCCTCGAGCACTGGCAGTGGGACCCGCCTGGCGAGGACGTCAAGAGCGACGCGAGCGCGGGGAAGGAGGAGGGCGGGGGAGGGTCGGGGTCAGCAGGCAGGCCCAAGACAAAGCAGCCCGCCTTCAGGCGTCACCCCTGGACCGAGGAGGAGGAGGCGCGCTTCCGGATCGCGCTGGAGATGTTCGGGCCCAAGGAGCGGAGCTTGGTGACGCAGGGCAGGATCCCCGTGGGGCTAGGGGCGGGGGCGGCGAGGAGCATGGCGAGCTTCATCGGGACGAGGTCGGTCCAGCAGGTCAGGTCGCACGCCCAGAAGCACTTCATCAAGCAGGAGGCGTCACAGTAGCAGCAAGCGAGGAGACTAGCAGAGGACAGGTCAGCAGTGTAGAGGGAAGGCAGGCAGGCTTGTGACGAGAGGAGAGGAGGGAGGTAGGGAGGGCAGACTGTGGCTGGAGCCGCAAGCGGGCTAAGGGTGCTTGTGTTGGTTGACGGATGGAGGGGAGAGGGAGTGGGAGGGATGGGAGAGGGGAAAGAGGGAGGGAAGCTTGTGACGAGAGGAGAGGAGGGAGGTAGTGACGGCAGCCTCGTGACAGCTGCTGGAGCCACCTGCACGCTCAGCGGTATGTCAGCGGATGGAGCCTCAAGAGACGGCAGGAGCAGGTCAGGAGGATGGTGTCAGGGAGGAGGGTATGTGAGCTAGGAAGAAGGAAGGGGAGGGAAGGGAGAACGTAGGGGTAACGGCCTCTTGTATAGTACAAGTCATGACATGGTGAAGCCTGATGCTCTGAGAGGAACGCAGAGGACTAACTAAGCTACTTCTCATCCATGTGCCCAACGGCACTGGAGCGACGCCTTGCTGACAGGTGCTGTGACTTTACTACCCCGGTGACTTTACCACTCAGTGACCAT